ATTATGGATATTATAGTCATTTATATAGCAGCTCACGTACATTTGAGTTTGTTCACATTTAATTTGGTCAAGCATTGTTGTTCAACGGACCGAGTCATTCGTACAATAACAACTTATCTATACCATCGTAGCATTATTGTTGTGCTTGTATGAATATGTATGCTTGAGCATTGTTTACCGCCTACGCATATATTCATTCTGCTAACTTTAATGTTATTAGCTTAAGTGATTCGATGACTCATTCATTTCCCTATGTATATATACATTTTAATCCTGTTCAATTGACTCGCTCATTCGACCCACATCCTCACGCGTTTGCGGCTTGCTTTTCAGCGCTACTCTTCCATGTTCGCTTAGCGTATCTGTAAATTTGGCGATTTGTGAGTGGTGCATTTATAAACGTAACCAACACTTCGTATTCGTCTTCTGATTAATACACCGTTGGGACGTTAGCTAGCGACGGTTATCAGGACGAACTGTATACAACGTTTAAGGATTATATTAAATATCGACCACCACAAAGTAATTGTCGACGCCTGTTTTGTCGATTTAAAGAGTATTAGTTTACAGAGAACGAAACCAAGGCGATCTCACCAATCTAACACTTGCAACTTTTGATAGGAATGAACAGTAGGCAGCGTGTTAAAACGTAACCTGTAGAGATTTCATGTCATGAACACACTGCCCAATGAGATTCAAACAACTCCCGCCCTCCATGGATACCTGTGCCCGGCCGTTTTCTTAAAACTCAATCGCAGGCAAATAAAAAAATCTTATCCCTCAATCAATTTTTTTCACATTTATGTCTATTCACATTGTTTGCAAAATTATTTACTTGGTCAATTCGTCAGTACTTGATTTAGTTCTTCTGAGCAGAGTCTTCTCCACTTTTCAATGTTCGAATTAACTTCTTTTATTTTCTATATTGCAATGAAACAACCTCTTGCCTGATAATATGATAGCTAATAATTTCAAAAATTCTACTGTCTTGAGGTAAGAACCCTCAGACTCCAAGATACACAAATCCACGAATAACTACGAAACTGATCAGATATAGTGTAGCCAAGTAACTGGACTCCACCCCGTTAGACACCAATAAAGTTCTCTAATCTAACCAAAAAATTGCGAGCTCAAAGAAATCTTTTGATTTACACTAGCTTACCACAAAGAAACTAGAAATTGACCATGTGCTGAACTTAATTGAACAGGAATTTAATTGAAGAAGTTTGCCGACTTGGTACTTACTTACTTGTTTAAGCCTGTTACTCCTAATGGAGCATAGGCCGCCGACCAGCATTCTCCAACCCACTCTGTCCTGGGCCTTCTTTTCTAGTTCCATCCAATTCTTGTTCATTTTTATCATGTCTATTTCCATTTCTCGGCATAATGTGTTCTTTGGTCTTCCTCTTTTCTTTTGGCCTTGAGGATTCCATGTGAGGGCTTGTCTTGCGAGGCAGTTGGGTGCTTTCCTCAATGTGTGTCCCATCCACTTCCAGCGCTTCTTCCTGATTTCTTCCTCCAGGGGGATCTGGTTTGTTCTCTCCCGTGGTAGGTTGTTGTTCGTAGTGTTTGACCAACGGATCCGAAGTATTTTACGTGGACAACTGTTAATATACACCTGTATTTTCTGGAAGATGGCTTTCGTAGTTCTCCAGGTTTCTGCCCCATACAGTAGGACTGTCTTGACATTTGTATTGAAAATCCTGACCTTGGTGTTGGTTGACAGTTGCTTTGAGTTCCAGATGCTCTTCAGTTGTAAACATGCTGCTCTTGCTTTTCCGATCCGCACCTTCACATCTGCCGACTGGTAAATCGACATTAAACCGAATTAAAATATGGTAGTGCTGAACGGAAATACCTTGAAAGAAGTAATGATAGCGGTTTCATATCAAAAATCGACCTCTTCACAACTATGGTGTATTCACAAAGACACTTGCATCATTATCAATAAGAATTGTATTGAAATAGACATTACAGAAGCACCATAATGTACAGTAATTGTGTAGGCTACGTAACACTGTTGGGATAAGTTTTAATGAAGCAAATCCAAAATTGCACAAAACAGATCCCGTTCGCGCCTCATCGGATTGAGTCCGAATTTTTCAGTGTGATTTGTTCGATATATACTGAATATTTAATAGTCGGTAAAGTTATGTTATGATGTGAAGCAGACATACAACTTGACAAATTGCTTCACTGTTCATAGGCTAAGTGAACCGAAATGAAAGGTTTACCTGCTATGTGTTCTGTCTAACTTCCCAATTTCGTGAACTTTTCATGTCCATAATAATCATCAAATATATGCATAGGACCTTAAGGTCTAGATTGATATATGGTACTTCCTCTTTATCTGAATGTTCTAAAAGGATTTGTCAGTGAAAAACTATTGGATTATCGAAGACCTCGCTCTTAACACCATTAAGTGCAAAATGTAAAGGATGAACACCAGAGATAATTCACCTCGTACTTTATGAGTTATCTTGATGTTGCATTAGTGCCTGGCCATCAATTATATAATAACCTGCATATTGCTCCTCGTGTGTAACATTTTCTGTCTTCGTTTTTTTTTAAATCTACGTAGAATATTTCGGTAACTAATGAATATCATCTTCATTACTTGCTTAAGAGCTAGTTCAAATACAAATTCCTACCACACGTATCCATATCCTAAGAAACCCATGACTTCCTCGAGAGGAGTTCGAAAATTGTTAACCTTCAAGCTCCTCATTTTAATAATAAACATTTAAATGGTCAAGATCATGAGTTAGTTGAAGATAGACCATCATGGAAAACCTGGAAGCACTGGATGGCCGTTTCATCCTATTGTGGAACTCCTCAGCAGTGAGCATCCACGGCCTTGCCCTTGCGAGACTCGAGCCCAGGACCTACTGGTTTCGCGCGCGAGCACTTAAACACTAGACCACTGAGCCGGCATCCAGCGATGTTAATGTTATACTTCAACTAAACCAGGTCTGTTGTGAGATGGTAACTCACTGAAGACAATGGTGGATGTGTTACTCAATTTCGTGATTCTTTCTTCATACAGATTACCAATGAAGTAAATCATTTATTTATTTTTAAAACAGTCGTCATCTCTTAACGCTCGGACTATTACATTATCATTCTCACACTCCCACCAATCAACCTCCCGCCTGGTAATATGATAGCTGCTGGTATTCAGAAATCCTACTGCCCTCGAACAAACGCACTCACTGGAGCTGCAAAATACACAAATAACTATCACACTGACTAGAATTAGTGCGGTAAAATGGCTGAACTATTACCGAATAAACATGGCCAAACACCTAGAACCGCATTGAGACAATAAGAAACAAGCGTAGGGAAATCAATCAGTTTATACAAGATCGTGGCAAATATATTGTATTTAATGTATACCGTAACTATGGATCACCTCTCCATAGCTAAAAATGCTCTCTCAACATTCAATATGGGTTGCAAGAAACTAATATTTCTTTATTTCTGTCCGAGTCACGTCATGTGTTGGTTATTCTCTAATAATTGATCAACGACGCAGCGAACCATCAAGTTACCGACCAGCGGCTCTTCTCTCAATACCTTCAAAAATCATGGAGTCCCTGATATGCGATGGCATAAATGACTATTTACTGTCCTTAAATTTCTTCTCACCCCAACAACATGGTTTCAGGAAGGGCTACTCTTGTATTACCAACCTGCTGACTGCGGTGGACGGATGAACAAGCATCCTCGATCGCAAGGTGAAAGTTGGTATCATTTACCTAGATTTCTCAAAAGCTTTTGATTAGGTTAACCATACACGCCTTATCAATAAGCTCAAACAATTGGGTATCAGACCACCCCCAATCGATTGGCTCACTTCATACCTGAAAAATCGACATTTTAAGGTTAGGGTCAATTTCACTTCATCTCAGGCTATGGAATGTCCTAGTGGGGTCCCCCAGGGTTCAGTACTAGGACCTCTTCTCTTCTTGATCTCCATAAATGATCTTCCTCAACAGGTAACGTCAGACTTATTACTTTTTCCCGACGACGTGAAACTTTGGAGCGAGATACGCAACCAAGAGGATATACAGGCACTTCAGGAGAGTCTTACTCGACTTCAAAGTTGGGCAGACAATAACGGACGTACCTTTAACACTTCAAAGTGTAAAGTAGTCCATCTGCGACATGTCGCAAACTACAGTTACAACTTAGAAAACTCCTCTCTAGTAGTATCCCAAGTCGAAAAAGATTTAGGAGTCCTGTTACCCCATGATTTAAGGTCTTACGCTAACTGTGACAAAAATGCCTTCCGAGCAAACCTTGCACTGATAACATTGAGGCGCATTTTTGGCTAGTTTGACGGAAGAACTTTCCATATAATCTCCAATAGTTTTATCCGTCCCCATTTAGAGTATGGAAACATAGTACTTCCTCCCTCACTCCAAAAAGATAAGGACACCCTGGAGCGTATCCAACGGCGAGCCACGAAATCAGTTCGAGGACTCAAATCTAAACCTTACGACGAATGCCTCCATTCACATAACCTTCACCCAATAGCGTATAGACGTCTTAGAGGTAACCTTCTGATGGCTTATAGTATTCTTAACACTTCTGGACATCCTTTTAAACACCTACTTAAGCTTAGTTCGAATAATAACCTAAGGGGTAACACCCAGAAACTGGAAACACAACATAGCAAGACGGAATGTAGACACAACTTCTACTCCTTAAAAGTTGTCAAAAGCTGGAATTCACTGCCGGCCGAGCTAGTCCAAGCGACTTCTCAGGAGTCCTTCAAGAGGCAACTTGATCTATTCTTAAGGACCAAGGACAGCATCACACTATGATTTACCAATTTCTTTTCCTCTTTTATTGTTAACATACCTAGGTTCCTGCCTGGAGGACTTGGTGATCCCCTGCTACTAGACACGGAAGCCTGTTAAGCGAAAGCTTCTTCAATTCCGTCCACAACCATTTGAACCTTTTGGACCCAAGGCTGTTGAAAATTACTGGAGGTTGATTTAATCATAACCGACCTCGACCTTGAGTCATTCAACCACCTTTAGGGACATTCACTGCAATTGGCTCGGTACTTCGGCTCTGTTCCTCGTTTGATGCCTTCAAACGGATTTTTTTCCGGAAAATTTCTTTCAGTTCCTTCTCTTCCAGACTCCATGACTGTGGTCACTCATTTAAATTGCTAACCACAACAGCGGTTTTCCTAAAATAATGCCATATTCTTCAGAATATGATATTCAGTGGCCTCCTAATAGGTCTGACGTTTTCGTCGTTGTTTGGAAACACTATGTTTACTTGTTCCGACTGGAACAAGCATCATCTGCATCAGTGGATTCAAACAGTATTTAAATGGGTCCAATTTGAACTTTTCGATACTTTATATTTACAGGTTTTATTATTGGTTCAAAGCTCAGATTTCTGCTTTCCGCTCTGAATATTTGGAGTAACAATGTATCCCCACAAGTATGCTTACTGTATATCAGTATTAGGTTTTAGTGTGTAGCTTGGGTATCCAGTAGCAATAAACCAAACCTCGACGTAGTCCCAAATCATCTGATTGCAATCACCCATAACGTTGGGTGTGTCAAACTCATGGGGTAAGTTAAAAGTTTCCGTAAGTTAACCTGATTATAGGCTCCCTAATTGTAATATCGAGGAAGACAGATTCGGTTTACAAAATAAAGAACTAAGTATTTCTTGTGTTTTCAATAATGACATGTTAAAGCACCTAGATTTTCCAGAAACACTACTTTTCTTGTTTGGAATCCTTGGAAACGTAACTTGGCAAGTCCTGCTTTCTGTTCTTGTTTGTGTATTGCTTTGATTTATTTTCATATTATTAAGTCCACACATATTTAGTTACCCGCGCCTCAGTGACGAACGTTGATCGTGTTGGGTTCAAACTTATTATAAAAGTGCCAAATGGCACGGTGCTTATCCTCCAGTTCCCACGTTTAATCATGCTCTGATATTCAGTCTAATTAATCATTGGTAGTGAAATGAAGATGCTTTGCAAGTCGTTGCAATCGTCTAGATAATAATTTAAAGTTTACGAAATCTAGTTTTTATGTGGTACCTTAGCCATCTTTCCTCGAATTCGGAATACCTATACAACCATAGTGCTTATTATCTTACCGTTTGACTCACTCAATTCATTTTAACTAACCAAAGATGCTAATAAAAGGTCACATAATTGAGACTGTGCTGTTTATGTAGTGTAATGCAAGCCAGTAACCTATGGACTTGAGTCAGTCAGCTACAACGTAGGACCAGGCGCATATATGCATCGGTCGAAGTTGCCATACCTCATTAACACAACAAGATGGACACCGTATTCATAAAAGTAGTTAATTCAGAGGTGGTAATATATAAAAGAAAGATTGCAATAAGGATATAGTACAGGAAGAAATAATTGGTTGCTAGAAAGAAAGATATGAAGCGATTTCAGTCTCTTAGTTTAAGGAAAGATAGAGAGGGTATACACCGACGCCATTGTGATCGATTCTGAGCCATGTCACCAAGAGTCTCCAACCATTGGTTACGATAGTCACGCGGACCCCAACCAAGTAGTCTGCATCTACCAACATGGCTCAGACTAGAAGTTAGTGACTTCAAGCACTGATGCCACGTTTTGGTTTGGCCGCCCCTAACTTTCTTCCAACCATCCCCTACACCGGATAGCATTGCACGTCGTGGTAATCGGTGTTCAGGCACACGTAACATGTGACCCAACCATCTCAGTCGATGAAGATTAACAACCTCATCAACTCATTTACCATCATACCCTGCGTCTAACCTCACTATTACTTACCCGGTGATCGCAGCAGATGTCAGCAATATTTCTAAGGCATCTGTGGTCAAATACTAATAGCTTACGAGTGTCTTCTTCTCTTAAAGGCCATGTTTCGCTGCCGTAAAGTAAGACAGAACGGACTGCCGCGCAGTATACTCGTCCTTTTATTGATAGACGGATATCTCGCCTTCGCCAAAGGTGACGTAAGTTGGCGAAAGCCAAACGAGCTTTTCAAATCGGTGCTGAGATTTCATCAGACACCAACCCATTAGGGCTGATCAAACTTCCAAGATAAGTGAAGTTGTGAACGCGTTCGACTACTTCACTCTCTGTCCTTAGTTCAGGCGTTGGCGCAGACCAGTCTTGAAGCAACAACTTGCATTTAGAGGGAGAGAAGCGCATTCCAAACATTCTGGCATTGTTGCTCAGTGCTACCAAAAGACTCTGCATTTTATCAGCGTCTTCACCAAACAGAACTATGTCATCTGCGTATTCCAAGTCGATAAGTGGACCTCCTGGAAGGAGATCAATACCCGAGGATTCAGTAGATGAGAATGTTATTTACATCAATAGGTCTATGATGAAGTTAAACAAAAATGGAGAAAGCGGACAGCCTTGACGGACACCACTTGAGGTTGCAAAAGCAGTACTGCTGCATCGACAAAAGTTTGTATTGCTAACCACCTACATGCCTAACTTAGGACAACTCATTAAACGAGTTAAGGTCCATATATTCGGTTTCCATTAACTTATTATTCTAGGGGAAATAAATAGCATCCCTCACCTAAATCAAGTTAGATGGAGAAGGGTGCATTAACGTGTGAGATGCTATATGGTTGTATTATTTATATCCATTTATTTTCTCTAAAAGCTTATTGACTGTTTAGCTATGGTTTTTCGATGATTTCTACTTTTGTTGATTATATTTCTACATGATTTTGGTTCGTTTTACGTGTTTTTTCACTATAATAGCTAGCCCAGGGTTTTGACAGACCTCGAAACAGCAGAGAACCTTCTGTACTGATATGGGATGTGACAAAATACACTGGGTCGCGGCATCCCAACGTGAAGTCTACAGATCGAGGTTCAGTTTGTGCAAATGACCTCCATACGCATACATATTCACTCCCATTTGCAATAAATGGGTCAGACTATAGTGTACCAGATACTCAAGCTACGTCATCACTTGTTTCCGTATATTCCTCAGTTTCGGAAAAAGAATGGATATCTAATACAACTACATGTGATAAACCTTTGTGTGATTTAGGTATGTTAGAAGAAAACAACACGTTTTTGGTTGATACTTGTTTGTTGTGTACATTTTGATATAATCGACATCTTCAAATACCAGATCAAAGATAATCCATATGCATTAATGAACATACTTTATTTCATGTTGTATTTTTGTAATTTTGCCTGTGTTATGTAAATATAATTATCCACTGCTTGAAACCATCATCTAGACATGGTGGCATCATGAAATGGTTTTCCACCAGTTTGAATATATAGTTGGAAGTAGAGAAATCAAATTAATTGTGAGCTTTTAGGTATGAATTGACTGATTTGGTCAAAAAATCTACAAATCATTCGTCGTCAAACTAGACACTTGTTTCAGTCATTAAACTTTCTTGGTCTATTCCATTTAGGAAACTTCGAGAACTGTACCTCAACATGGTTTTGAACAGTATTTGTGAATGCTAGTCACTGTGATAGATTAGGTCAGCCTATGTTTATCAAAAAGAAAGCGATAGCATAACAATTAAATAATTCAACCGTCAACCATTAGGTTGTAGGATTAAACACCCTAGGACCTGTTTGGACAGCATATTGGTCCTGCTAGCTTTCATGTCAAAGGTGCGACTCAAAGCTTAGTACATTAACCTGGACTGGATCACAGAGTTAAATCAAGATCAAAGCACTTTATGTTATTCCTAGTCACTTTTCGAGCCTTCACTTTATCGTAGTTGTGAAACGTTAGAGGTATAACTCCCGATGAAAGCAGCTTTCTATGTTTATGAAATCTGACCCCAGGACAAGAATGTTCTTCCCTCCGTATATGATCTCCATTACCTCCATGGGGATTATCGTTATATGTATTAACAACACTGATATCCAGGACCTTGTATTTTGGTTATAAATTATTATATAGGTTGATCAAAGTATTTCGCATACACTTCATAGTAGTCTTGACGTGTTGTAAGCTACTTCTTTAGTGTTAATTTTGATATATAAAAAACAACACTTGTTTATCAGTTTAGCGCCTAAAATAAAACCTGAATTATCCATTCCCTTTAATCAGAACTTACTATCGTTCCCAATCTCTACCCTCTTTTGGTTGAAGCTACATGGTAGAGTGGGTTTTTCTTCTAACAAAATAACATACCTGGACATAAAATACTGATTACAATAGTGAGTATGACTAGAATTCATCTAACAAATAAACGATAAGAATATATGGCAACTGTAGGTCATTCACTCCAGATTTATTCCGTAACTATCAGGCTTAGTTCCTCCCCTGTCACATTAGATAGTTTCACAATACAACCCAATGAGATATAAAAGCAAGTTTCATTTACTTGCCAATGTTAATCAAACTATTTACTCCCAGCAATTTTATCTTTAAAATAGCTACCACTAATTCGACACTAATAAAATTTGTCTAAATATGGACTGATCAACTTTAGCTTCTGTAAAATGTCTGGTGTGCCACTCTGACTTTTTATGTAATAAGATGAGTTGTGACTATAAGTCCTTCTCTGAATGTATTTTCTTACTTGAGTTGAGGGAGTGGGGTAATTTAAAAAATCTTCAAATGTTCACACCATTTTATAGATTTTTATGTCGATAGTTATCAATGGTAAGGAATTCAGTAATCATATTAATATTTTTGGGTCTTTTTTTACCAAAAGGTATTCAAGATACTGCATCATTTGCGTGGCTTTCTAAAAGTTCATTTATTGCTGGCATGTCAGGAACCTACCTGAAAGTGTTTGACTTATCTGGTATGTTTTTAAAAAAATCCTATCTTACATGAGTTACCTAGAATTTGTTTTTTATTGCATTATCAAATATTCTTCTTCTTGAGATTCCTACGGTAATAGATATTTGAGCAAAGTAATAATAAATTTAAACGACATGAACAAACTGGTAAAATTAGATTCTCGGTGCATTAAACGGTTGTTCAAACATTTTAACTTATTAATGCGATGCAACTTTCAGAACAAAAACTTAATTCGATGTGGATAAATTTGCTGACTGATTGTTGTACTTAGTTTTCGAAAGATATGCGATATATCTTGGTACGAGTCACCAAAACAAAATACTACTGTCACTTTCTGTTTAATAACGTTAGCTAGTTAAGTCACTATGTAGAGTAGTTTAGGTTTCTGGTCAAGGTCAGCGATTTATTGATGGTCAAAGTTTGGAAATATTAAGCTACATGATGCATGACTGATTAGAATTGGGGAGATAACCTCATTATATTCTCTGATATGTTGAATTCTTAAAAATTTCCATTCTTTTGTTTCTTTTATATCATTCTTTTAGTTATTCACCTTTGTTTGTCTTGTACGTTTCACCTCTTCATTCCTTTACTTGTCAAGTTCCTCTTTTTACCACAATGTAAATTATAAGAACCACGATCCGACTACTGATCTGCCTATGCGTCTTTTCCGAAGTTTTATGACTGGACTTTTTTAGTGCGATAACACTTATTTACATTTCTAGCTGTTAGTACGTACAAAGTAGTTTCGTCATTATATAGTTCATCCTTCACCAGTTCAATTATTCTTTACTACCTTTCCTGGTTCCTATGATAGATCCGTCAAAAGTTTGCCAAATTACTACAACTAGGGCAGTCTATGGTTTGACAGTTGATCCCTTATGCAGTAAACGTTTCGCTTCATTCTGTGAGGTAGGTTTTTCTATACATTATTTTAATTTTCTGACGACACATTATTTAAATGTCGCTTGTGTGTGTTTTTAATGTTAAAAACACTAGGTTAAATTCAAATATCCATCGTGAAATTCGGTTCGGTACTCTTGACGATTCACATCCAAACTCTGCACTTGTTGTCGACTAGTTTTTCACCGCTTGAACTTTCAAGTTTGTTAGAATTAATCACCCTTATCAGGAATCTTTGTGAAGATTCGTCCTGAATAAATTTACATCCATACTAATATTATATATATATATATCAAAACTTTTGTCAAATATTATTTGTTTTCCTCTGTTTATATTTGATTTAAATACCTATATTGTTTACAATCAATAATGAAGAAAAGTGGGATATCGAATAAAATACCATTGTATCAAATCTTTAAATCACTGATGGTTAAAGGAGTTTGCCGACTGTTCGCTAATTTCTTTCTGATAATGATTATCATGCTCACTAGTGACTGGCTTCACAAGATATTTCCTGGAGTTTTAGCGTGAAGCAGTGACTAGTGAAATTCAACCGGGTCTTTTGTGAGATAGTAACTCACTGAAGGCAATGGTGGATGTGTCGCTTAATTTCATGGATTGGTTGAAGTTAGACATTAACACCGTTGGATGCCGGCTCAGTGGTCTAGAGGTTAATCGCTCGCGCGCGAGACCGATAGGTCCTGTGTTCGAGTCCCGCAAGTGGGATCGTGGGTGCTCACTGCTGAGGAGTCCCATACTAGGACGAAACGGCCTTCCAGTGCTTCCAAGATTTACACGATGGTCTAGCTTCAACTGACTCATGAACTCAACTACTAAATGTTTTGGTCGGTATTCTATATTATCCCCAAACTTCGTGTGCTGTTCGTCCTGATAACCGTTACCAGATAACGCCCCCAACAGTCTATAAATCAGAAGACGAATACGAAGCGTTGATCACGTTTATTATTGCACCACGCACAGATCACCAAAACCACAGGTACACAAACCAAGAATAATAGGGTTGTGTCGAAAAGCAAGCGAGCGAGTCGAATGAATAAGATTAAAATGTACATGTTTATATACATAGGAAAATGAATGAATCAATTAAGCTAATAACATTAAAGTTAGCAGAATGAATATATGCGTAGGCGGTAAACAATGCTCAAGCATACATATTCATACAAGCACAACAATAATGCTACGATGGTATAGATAAGTTGTTATTGTACGAATGACTCGGTCCGTTGAACAACAATGCTTGACCAAATTAAATGTGAACAAACTCAAATGTACGTAACCTGTTGTATAAATTGCTATGATATCCACAATACCCCTTTCTGAAAATATTTCATTTTTATCTTAAAAAAATTCAACGCAAAATTATTGTTTGTAAAGCTAAACCGCGAATACTGACAATAAAATAAGGAAAATTATGGGCTAAAATTACCAACTTTTGTGGAATAGTATCCATCATTAAAGATAGATAGAAAATCTTGAGAATATTGAATAAAGTTGGACAATCATCAGGTTATCATGTTTTAAGACTAACCTGATCATTTTTCTAGTTAGCTAAAATATTGATTTAAGTCAGGTTAATGTTCGTCCCTCAGGCTGCACATCTGAATTATCGAAAGTACCCTCTGATTAATTGCCAGTAATTTGTCATCCAACTGCATAAACGCTAATAAACTCACTGCTTTCAAAAGTCAAGAAATTTTTTTTATAGGAATAACTGAATAATTATTCTTACCCTAGAAACTTTGCATAAATCATATTTTTTCTGCTTAAAAAATTGCACTTCTCTTCACATTTTGTATTTCCGAATTTCAGCGTCAGGTTTCATTATGGAGATTGGATAATTTAGAAAAGCCTGTAAGTTAGTATTAAATTATTTCTGTCATATTTGTATAGAAATTATCAGTATAGGGTTTTGAAGATTGTTGTGTTTTTTAATTGAGATCATGAATCGATCAATGTTGAATGGAAATTCTTTTTTTTCCTGGTCACATTTCTATCCTAAAATATCAGTTCATTGGAACAAGGCTTACGAGATATTTTTGAAATTCCAACTTGTTAACAGTCACATTTTCTTGATGACAATGTGCTTTACTCTTTACGTTATGATTTTCTATTATCAACAATCGTTTTGAAATATTCTAGGAATATCGAACTTAAATTCCTGCCAATCGACTTCAATATATGCAACTTTAAAATGAATAGTCAACCTTCAGCTTTTGCTTCTAAGCTTTGATTAAGCTTAGATTTCATACAAGCCAGTAGATTTACCGTTTACAATCATATTAGAAACTTATATGTTTCTTTATTACCCCTACATAAATACAGAGAATTCTGTTAAGGAAATTTATATAATCAATGTATCAGTCTTTAAAAAATTAAAACATAATCAGTTGAATATATATTTGTCGGAGGAACTAACATTGTTATCAGTAAAGTGCTAAAGTATTCAGTTGACAGTGTTATAATTCAGGAAATTTACATTGTTTTGGATTTTGCAACCATATTTAACAATTGGTACTTTTAGTGATGTTAAACTTTAGAATCTGTTTTCACGAATCATTAGTAATAGAAAAGTTTGAGAGAGAGTGAGTGAGGAGCATAATTAAACTGTTTTATTGACACTAAAATGCACATTTGGTTTTGATGATTTCGTTCTCACTAAAAACTATAAATACCTGATAATTTTGTACTATGTTTGACACTATTTGGAATAATATTCCTTTCGTTAGTCTTCTGTCTTCTTATTGCGACTTGGAAGGGTTTGGTGTTCTAGTGCTCAGTTATACGCGGTTGTATCAAGAAAAATCAGCTTTTTCAAGTTATAACAGGTTTCCTTGATTATTACTGGAAATAGGTTTTTGAATTTGATTATAGTGTTATATGCTTATGATAATCAAATTACTTACTTACTTACGCCTGTTACTCCTCATGGAGGAGCATAGACTATCCACCAGTCTGTTTAGTGTTTTTTAGTGAGTTAGTTTTCTACGGAATGTGGTCGCTAACCCCATGCCCAACCCTCTTCCTTTACCCGGGCTTGGGACCGGCAGTAACTGTAGAAGGGCTACAGGCGAATTTATGATAATCAAATGTGTTTATAATATCTCAATGAATAGAAAATTGAATTTCTAGTGTTTCATGACTTTGCGTAACGCTATAAATTCAATTGTATGTTTATTATCATAAACAATCTATTTAGTGCATAGTTTATTTGAAATGATCAAATATAATCTTGGTAGTGATATCTACAGATATATATGTCATAGTCTTGACTTGTCATGATTCATATATCAAGTTATGAAATAAATCATTCATATTTCAATCAAACTCAACCAGATACTAATGAGATTTCATTTTCTTATAATTACTGGGGAAAAAACACCCTTAGGTTTATACATTTATGGAGTCCGGTGATGTTCTACAAATCAAGTGGAGTCCTTTAAGGTAAAAAAAATTTAATCGTACTTATAACTTGTTGAAAATGTCAAATAATTTATTTGTATATAACAATGTGAACATGTAAAGAAATGCATAAAGTACTATGCTCAAAAAACTCAAACAGTATGGAACTTGATTATTGTCATACTTCTGAATCAATCAATCATTGTTACCATGAAATGACAGTACGAGTGTATATTGGTTAATGTTTATAACACTGCGGGATTTGAATCGACAACTGCATCTCTGTGCTGATGTGGTGTGGCAACTCGAACTGATGTACGTACGTACGAAGTTCTACGTTGTTACTGACTAACTGAGGGGCATATAGAGAATAAATGTATCTTCAGAGCTTCTCAACTTTTAATTGGAAACATGAAAAATTATAAGCTTTTGATAAAAGATAAGACAGTACTGAGTGAGTAGGTTTTTAATGTTCACTATTAAGCTTAAGTGTTAACAGGATTTTCAAGTCGTTTCAGTGCAATTAATGTACACTTTGTAAGGTGCTTTATAAAGCCAGTTAACAACACTGTCTATTAAGTAAGTTAATCAAAGAGCCTAATAAATCTATCCATTTAATTCATTTAAGCACCTAAACATTGGTATGAGTAGTCACCAAATATATATGCGCCACACAAATCATTTGATTTGTGTGTCGACTGGAATATGGCCCAAATTGAAGTAGTTGATTTTCTTAAGGGGCCATACCCGAACCGTTTGACTTAAGGGTCTAATTCACAGGGCAGTGGAGCAATGTGAGGAGATACAGTCCCATGGCAGCCGATGACCAACAATGAGTTCTTACGCTATTTGTCCCTTCAGGATCCCGGAGCCTATGTGCACCCTTAGTTTGAAATCAGGGTTTTCCAACTCCACTAAGTGGATCCTCCGTATTCACCAACCTGGTTAATGCTGCGGACATTCGCATTTCGTTCTCTCAACTTCGTAAACGACAATCCAGCTTCGAGAAGTCAATGAGTAGGACTTCCCTGACAGTGACTGTATACGCGTCGCCATGTGAAAGCATCTGGAGAGGCAGAGCGAACTCTCTCCACCCTCGATCATATCAGGAGATTTGGGGGCGTTCTTCGATTTGTGATTGATATTATTATTGTTAAGTCCAATAAGCTCAAAGGCAGTATATTATAAGTTACTTTCAACTACATATGCGTACACTCAGTTTCCTTTTTTACATTCTAGAGAAGCTTGGCTAGGAGTTCTGGTAACAGATTCTTGTACAGTTAAATTGTACGACACATACCCTATGTTTTGTCAGTCTATAGAAGAACCTGAACAGATTCCGTTAGAAAGATTACTATTTCGTAAGTATCATTTTTTCTTCCTTAGATTTCTAGGGAATATTGAATATTATCATAATTCACTCACATATAAATAGTTTATGTATTTAATTCTTTTACATTGTTTGATTGAATCTTCCTATTTATGTTTAGGATCACAATTGATCAGTGTCTTATTGGCATATGTGCATCCTATACTGATTGCCTCGATATTGCCTTTAGTCACAAGTATTACAAGGAAAGGAGGTTGGTGGCTGGCACAAGCTAGTGACTATCAGGGCTAAGTAGCTAAGTGGATAACTTGAGGGCGTTTGAAGCGAACGGTTCTGGGTTCGAGTCCCGGAGTGAACATCAACCCTGGGACGCAAGTATATGCAGCTGAAGAGTCCCAAATAAGACGAGACGCGCGTCCCGTATTCCACTGCTAGCCACTATCCTAGTTTATGTATTTGTTTTATTTCATCAAACTCAAAGTGATTCAGCACTGGTAAAATATTCATTTTAGTACTTTGATATCTACAATTCATACGTATATGATGCGCTTCTATTAAGAGGTTATTTTGATATTCTTCAAATATATCTGTTTCACAATGAAAAAGCGGGAAGCCCTAAAAACGTTATATGGTGATAGGTCAAAGAACGAGTAAAACAAACCATACAAATACACATGGTTGATTAGAATTATTTATTGATCAAATTCAGATATTTTCAACCAACAGAGAGGTGTTTCTCATCATTGATAAGTTATAATTTTATTAGATAGCCACTGGTTCTATAACTTACTAGTAATTATTTAAGCGAATCAGTCAGTAGTTTGTCTGCTTTCATATTCATGTCCTTAACGTTGCTGAGTTTTTGAAATTTAATTGAATCCTTCAAAACTGACTACATTTTATCGATATAATCTGTTTTGTTCATTAGAACTAGTCCTCATCCTTTGTTTGCCTTGCTTACGATCAGTGTGTTGTCTTCTCTAAGCTTATGTAAAGCATCTCGGTCTTGTTTAGTAAGCGAAGGTTTCATGGCATATTCATCATTCTTGTATTGTTGGCAACTGTCAACCGAAGTGGTTTTAAACCCAGTAAGTTCCTCGACTGACTTCAAGGCAAAGTTCGTTGTTTGTGAAAATAAATTTTCAAACTTCACGTCCACATTTAGTTGGTGCTCGTGGTAACAGAATTTAGTGCCATTCAATAAAGCCTAAAAATTGCACCATATTCGATCTAACACTGAGGAAATTGTGGACATACCGTTTTGGGTTATTAGGAAACTTCCTTTCTGGTTTTTGATGTTCAAACGATTTCATTAATCTTATCTCTAATGTCTGGAATCTACTTTGGCTAATATGTTGACATTGTCTATAAATTGTGATTTAGTTTCCTATAGTAGATTATCGACAGTAGATTTTCTCTATAAAAGATTTCTTTCCTAATAGACATTGTACAGTTTTTAGGCTTATTTGTTTTATTTCTTATTCATCTTTTAGCGTCCAGTCGATCAAATGTTAACCTGGTGGCATTCAGTTGGCATCCATCAAATGTAAACTGTCTACTAACTTTGAATCGTGATGGCTGTTTAAATGTAGCTCAACTTGTTGAACGTCCAGCCATTGTAAGTATTTTGTCGTGTATAAACAGTTATCTTTTAGTTATTTTTCATACAATTTTTATTGTGCCTTAAATCTAAAGTCTATAGTATTATTTCATTACTTTGTATAAATAACATTTGTTTCATCTTAGCGATTTTCTTATATTCATAATATCTTCCCCAGTAATTTGGCTTAGCAATCAAAGCTTAACTGATTAGAAAGTAAGTATGACCTATAAATTGATTTCTTCCAATCACTTATCATAATTGTACAAAATACTTTGTATGTAATCATATTACTAGAGAAAAATCTATTCTTTTGACTAGTGGTATTATTATTATTGCAACCTATTCAGGGCCGTAAGTCAACAAATCGGTTCTGTGTATAGCTATCATTTATCTACACATCAATCAATCAAACTGTGTCAACATTCTACTTATTGGTTTTAACAATAGATAATTCGTTTTGTAAAATCACATTAACATGGTGATTTATAATAGTTTAGATCTGTACTATCATTAAAATACTTATTTTGACTTGTTTATTTTTATTTAGTGAATTTCTAATTCTCAGAAAGGGTTTGTGGAGATTTTGGTCTTGTTGGTTAAGCGCCTGGTGCGAGACTGATAGGTCCTGGGTTCGAATCTCACGGGGTGCGGGATCGTGGATGCTCACTGCTGAGGAGTCTCATACTAGGACGAAACGGCCGTCCAGGGCTTCCAGGTTTTCCATGGTGGTCTAGCTTCAATTAACTCATGATTTCAATCAGTGAAATTTCTAATTCATTGTGTACTGATACTAATCATGATACCACGTTTCTATTTCGAGTTCAGATTGATTTTGGATTTCGAAATAGTTTTTTTCTTTCTTTTCATTTTACCCATTTCACTATGAGTATTGTTTAGTAAATCATTGTTTCATATGCTATACATCGTAATTATTGTCTTTTTGTTTATATTGTGTTTGGTATTTTTTGTTGTTGTTGCAATAATAGGGATGGTCAGCTAATCAAACGTTAGTATGGTCATATACTCGTGATTGGACTGCATTCAATTTAACAGGAATTGTTAGCAGTAATCTACAAACACTAATGGAATTTTTACATGCAGTTAATGAAAATAAACGATCAGAGAATTCTGTTAATAATGGTAATACTACATATAGTCTCTCAAATGCACAATATCTTGCAAATTGTCAGAATATTAAAAACAAAGATTATCATGATGATAATATTAATGGTAATAAGTATTGCCATGAAAAACAAACAGCACTTCTTGTTCACTTGAAGCGTTGCATGGAGTTGGATATTGCAGTCGTTATGCGAAAACGTGCTGAACTAGGCTATGGACTCGATGTGAGTATTGTTAATTTTTTTTTCACCCTAGTATATCTTTAAATGATGACGTTTTGTTTTCTGTACTTATTAAACTCAATGTTTTGAGATTCGTGAACTTAAATGCTTGGTACTGGTAGGATTTATGAGAGGATTGAAGGGCAAAAAGTGTGGATTAATAATGCAAATGCAAAAAATATTAGGTAATAAATATGGAATTTCGTTGTAAACCAGGTAATCTCTAGTGTTGCTTGTGGTATAACAGGGGTTTTCACTCTTCGCTTCTCCACACCGTGGAAGGATACTTTTCCATAAAGTACCTGAAAAGGATACTGGGTTATAATTGTTGTGTATCCATTTCAAGAGCGTAATTATGGAGCCTAATGAGCAACTGCTTTTGGCCGGCCATACACGGACTTCGGTTCAGTCTTTCTTAAATATATTAGCTCCGTAATTTAGAGGCCTGACAGCGTCTGACGGGTGAAGTGTACCATTTTCAGGGTGAACTTTCTCTAAATGCTCCTTCACTTGTAAGAAGGCAGCATCACCGAAGATGCTAGTTGTCTGATGGTAAAGCGTACTATCGTCATATTCGATGCAGTAGGCAGTACGACTGTCCTCGAACTATAAGTTTACCGCTTTTGTTCTTGCCGCTCTTCAACCGACTTAGTTGGCATGGTAGTACACAAAGGAACTAGTGTTCTAGCCGTTATAACTCGATGGGATTGTCATGATATACGTACCTTGAAGCCATGTTAGTGTAGCACCTACGGTCAAGATGTTTAACGTCGAACTTCATATCCAGACGTCATTCAAAAATAACTGACATTCCAATATTCAATAGTCAGTTATTTTGTTATAATTGAAGATTATTAAGCACTGTTAACCTCCAACTTCCGTTGTATCTCATCAATACAGGAACTTTTTGGACTTATGAGTATCACGTTTATTTTAAATCAACAAAGGTTAATATAAACGTTAAACATTTTTCAAACTCAAAGATAACTAGATTGGCGATAAATAGCTCAACGTTGTTTTAGGTGATAAGATGCCGAGTTTCTGCTAATGTGATATTCATTACGCATAAAATTTGTTGTTATCCATATCGTTGATTGGATAATACAAAAAGAAGAACATGTTAATCTAGGGTATCCGGCATACTTTCATTTCACCTCCTACTTAATCTTAACTTTATGAGCTGATACTATCATAGTCAACGGTGAGATGAACAGTAAAGTAGTAACCGTACAGAATCGTAATCGGACTAAAGTTAAAATATATTTCTTACTAGATTTTAGCTTATTACCGCAGCTACATTAGATAGAGTAAAAGTAATGCTTTCACTATCTTAACTTTATGCCATAATAATAAGTTTTCTTACCCATCCTATTCTACAGATTACGGGTGCCACTTATGTTGAGATTGTCAAAGACGATGTACAACTTCGAACAATGTGGACATGGATAAAATGTAAGTTTAGTTTAGTTTATTATCGAATATCAACGAACTTGAAAGTGACCCTTAAAACGACATTTGTCTACGGTCTCTTAACCGTTAAGGTTTCTGGGGTTTGAATAAGGATTTATGTTTAGTCAAATTATTGTTACCCTGTACCTCCCAACCTTAACTTTTAGTAATAAATACCATATTCATCAATAAAATTAACCATCCTATGAGCTGAGATTATTGACTTTTTCAGTGTTCAATAAGTGTGTTATATCTAGAACTTTCTATCATGTTTCTATCTATTTTGTGAATGAGTTGTGTATATTGAGTTTTTATTTACCTGAAAAGATTTCATTCCAAGTATCTGGAAATATCCATAGCTGTCTGTTATGAATAAATCAATGTGGTACAGCTTAATGTATTGGTCAATAAAATATAAATAGAAAGTTTGGGGTTAAAGTGAATTCTCAAATGAAAATCACACTGTAATATTCAACAATTTCACTAAGCAAACAGAAAAATGATTGAAAGTACTTGATACAACCCGCTCTTATTAAACATTAAAAACGTTGTACATAACTTTATGCATACATGATCGTCATCGTGTTTCAATATTATATGCCATGACCTTGGCAAGTGGCTTACTCTTTGTTGAATGATTTATCAGTTTAGTTCAGTTTAATCATAGGCTTTTCCTCAATACTGTATTTTAGCTCGAAATATCAAATTACAACGTAACCTGCTTTTACAGTGCTAATTAATAATCTACTGTATTTAATTCGAATTAAAAAGTTCTATCCAATTCGGAAATAAGTGGATAGTGTTAGTAAATTCATTTCATTTGTAAAAGTTTTGATGTATATGCATCGTAAGCAGATTGCCTGTATATTATTGTTGAGTTTCAAGCATTTTAAAGTAAGTTTTTAAATATCTAGTAGTGGAACTGAGGACTTACTCTTCATCTTATTTAGGACTCGTCAGATGGATTTACCTGCATTCCAGTGTCAATGATTACATGGGGACAAAAAAAAGACTAATCGATCGCAGTCCTTAACCTCAATAATAGGGAAACATAAACCCGTACAAATAAATTGAAATCCATCCCGGTTGTACAAGCCAGTGGTTAAGTGTATAATACTTTGAGGGAATACTTTGGAAATAAACACGAGTTCTAGATTCCGTTGTTAACCACTGTTAAACTTCGCATAAGAGTCAGTAAATTATATATATATATATATATATATATATATATATATATATATATATAAATCTTCATTTCGCTCTAAACCTACTTATTTCTGTATATGATTTGGGAATGAGATACCAGACGAAATGTTATAACTTGTGACCGCCGATTAATGTGCAATGAATTATCGATCGGATCAAAGACACGTAAAACATGTGCGAGCAGCCTAGAGTCCTGATTGGCCCTGCTTTCCGCCTAGTCCAGCCAGTTAAGTCCAGAACACCACTCTCAGCCTCTGCAATATGAATCATGTATTTAAAACATACTCTGTTTATATACCAATCAAGCAGACAACAAAGTACCAATAAAATATGAAACAACATTTGTACAAGAATTAGCCAGATGTGGCAGTGAATGAGGGAGGTAGTAATTAATATACTGGGTATAACTCAAGAATGGTAAAACGTATAATAATAGTTTATGGGTCAAAATAAAGCTTATAATCAGAGGAAGATGAATATGCATAGTTTGGTTACTTAACAACTATACGATAGAAATATACGTTTAGTATTGGTCCATCAATAGATCCCAAAGTTACCATTCATTATGTTTCTCGGGTCCTAACACGAAAATAATCTGAGATTTGGCATAGTTATAAATATCTTTTCAGCCGATATGCTTTTTATCATGAACTGATTCAATCATAAAATATCACAGCGGGTCGGAGGAAATCAAGTTTCCAGGTCATTCACTGTCTACTCATTTAAGATCCGACTGTTGGGTCTAATTCTTTCTCAGATGGAACTACTACATATTAACGGCCTTAAAAATAACAGAAACGACTATAATGAGTTAAAGTGATATTTTCAAATACAATTCGGATAAGCTGCTACTGGAAATCATGTTTTGCACTGGATTTGGTATCTTGGCTAATTCAAATGATAATATACTTGTTGATCACTTATAGATCTTCGAACTATCAAATACTAGCATCTTATTTAACCGTTGTTATCGAATGTATGTAGTTTGTGGAAGAGGTTGTTTACCGTTCGCTTCATGTTGGGTAAAAAAAGTCTTCTAGAAATGCCACTTTTTGGTAAAACCAAAGCTAAGAATACAACAGACCGTGGTTTTAATGATTGAACGGATTATATGAACACAAGTCACCACTGCTACAGTCATTCACGCAATATGAATCCTGATTTTTATTGTTAAAATATTAGGATGAGGCCATAACACTTTTAAACCTGTGTATTCTATGTGATTTTATCTTTCTTGTGGTACACGGCTCATTTACCACAGATGCAACCTAAGTAGCCAATCGCAAAGTCACTCTTAGAATTACTCTGAGCCATATGGTTTAATTCTGTCGAATCTGAGGCTCAGTAGTTGTCTAAGAACTAACTTTAACCATTATTACTTTTGGCATCCTCAAATACCAATCCATCAACCAAGATTTTGACAAATATCTAAGAGGAATGAACACTCATATTAACATATATATTTGATTGTTAATCTAGTCAGATCTATACGATATTGAAATGTTTGTTTGCATCATTTGTCGTTCAATATGTTTCTCTCAGAGATTTTTCTACTTTCTGTTTATGTTTTTTCTAGACATTAATGATTACATGGACGATCCATTGATTCGACGGCATTGTAAGTTATTTCATTCAGTTCTTCATATATTTCATGTCTAGTTGAAGTTACAAATCAAATTTATGGATTAACTTGTTAATTCTAGTTAGATATTGTCCGTTATTTTTCTTACAGTGCTAGAACGATGTGATTCATCACGTCCAAATTAAAGCTGATTTGAATCAGTGGAATGATGACTGTTTAGTTAAAATATTCGGCTTTTAGCTACTTAGTAACAAGTCCGGACGTCACTGCACTTACTTTGATTTAGGGAACCGATTAAACTTCATACTTAATGTGTAATCCAAAGTCATGTACATGAATCCGCACCTAGTAAATAAGTTAATAACAGGAACAACGCAAACTATTCAATACATTAGTAATGTTACGTTTCTTTGTGATAATTGCCAGTTGTACATTATCTGATTTATAAGTTAGTTAACTGTAGAGTATCAGTTCACTACTAAATGTAATGTATTATTACTGTTTAAAAATAACGGTTTCCATAAAATTTCTGGCTTTTCCTGTCGGCTTTTTTATTCTAGTGGATGTGGATTCATCACAGTCAAACTATACATCAAATCAGAGAAATGGTAGTGATAACATTCCTTCGAAACGTCGTGTACCTTTCAGAGGTTCAGGTGTGATTTCACTTTTATGCGACAATTTGTCATCATCTGGTACTAAATTAACAAGTGAAGTTTTAATGCATGTTGAATGGCAAGGAATAGATGTGAAATTACCATTTTCGCGATATCGGAGTCCCGAACGGTATTACGGATAAAAATACACATATATTTTTGTGCTTTTCTTTTTAAAAATAATCTCTTACTGCTTCTAGTAAATTAAGTTAAATCCAATTTTTTGATTTATGAAAACATTTTTCTTGTGATTTTTATGTTTATTAGCATGAAATTTTTATTGAGATTATCGAATATCATTGATAAAAAATAAAATAAAACATTAGTTCAGTGTTTCGTCCTAGTATAAGATTCCTCGTAGTTCAATAGACACGATCTTGTTGCAAGTCAAGCCCGCAGATCTCATTGTGAGCGCTTAACTTTTAGATTACTTAGCAAGCATCCAATGTTTACATGTCTAATTTTAATCAATTAGTGATGTTGTATGATCATCTTTGATTGTCTTTAGTGGGTTACTGCCTCATTTTCGACACGGTTAAACTGTACAGGTTGCAGCTTCCCATTACGAGTCCGGGAATTTCCTCTCGAAACTAGTCACTAATGATCGGTTACTCACTGAGAACAATGGAAAATAGTTGTGCAGCATCGCGAATTGATTGAAGCTAGATTTGTTCATCGTTGGATCTCAACACAGTGGTCTAAAGGTTAAGTGTCCTCCGCGAAACCCTAAAGATTCTGGGTCCGGTCGCTGTTGGTGTCGTAGACCCTCACCACTGAGAAGTCACATATTGTCCTTTTTGAACGATTTACTTGATGTCAAGTTTCTACTGTCATCCACACTGTTCGAGTGACATTCTTTCGATTTTCAACTTGTTTATTTGTCATTATATTTTATTTGGATTTTGATAGCTTAGGGCTAATGGATATCTATGTTAGTTTCTACATTGTTAATGACCAAATGATTTTGTAGCAGTGTTTCGTGATGTTGATTATATTCAGAAACTCAGAAGTAATAGTCAAACCAAACAGTTATTAGTTGATAACTACAAAAGCATACAACTTACTTCAAAATTGTACTGAATCATATGATAAAAATTCATGACACCGTAGACGAGGGACATTAACAGAAATGGAACAGTGTCATTCATAGCTCAGTAAAACACAATTAAAAGAGTCAAGTTAACGAAACGCATTCTTTAAGATTCAGGGAAAAAAATTTAAATTGGATATAGCTGCATCGTTGGGATTGGCTATAGGATATACCATTAGAAGTGTTTAATCAATGATTCTTATCGACTCAATAAACTTGATACCACGCACTTAGTCATACTTTCTGTATAAATTAAGCACGGATTTGTTTACCCTGCTTTGAATCATTATTATTTGTATACCTCAATAATATTACCAATTTAAGCGGTAGTTTGTTTTATAACCAGTCAACTTTTTAAACTGATTGGAAAGATATGTTAAGAAGTCAAATATTCGGAAAACCTATCTCTCAAAGGAGAGGAAACAAAATCTACCTTCAAATAAGGTAACTGAGACAATAAGAGGTTTACTTCCTCCATCCCCATACCTACTCTTTATTTTCTCACGAACAGTCTGGATAAGAAATGAAAATCGTGACTCAAATGTTCAGTATGGCTGAAGAGGCTATAGTTTAAAGTCAGGGAAATAAGTTGTTCCCAGAGATCTTAAAGGACAGCGGACAAGTTTTAATAACTAGACTGATTGAGGTCTGGTTGGTAGATGTAATCTCGTAAAACTGGTCACTCATTAATTGTGTCAGTTTATAAAAACGAACAAACTCTCATGAAAAATACATAAAAATTACTCTTACTAGTAATGTTTAAAATACCACTACCCATAGTCACCTGATAAGTGGTTAGAACTCATAATAGCCAAACTCACGAAAGTCTGACTGATTTCAGACGTGGACATTGATATGTAGATCAAATACGTACTCTTCATCAGATTTCGAAACATCAATTTACTTACATTACAACTTGAACCGATGCACATTTGTTTCAGGTCGCATGTTGATGCTGACAGCCTAGATTCAAGTGTGTAACCCACAGGTTGAAGTTGCATGTGTAAACTGACAAAAATATCTCATTTCATGATTAGTGCAGATTTCTGTCACGTACACAGAACTTTCTTCACTGAATTTATTTATCTGAGATTCAATTGAGTTATGTACTATGTCCTTTGCGTTTTTATCATTTTAATGTAAAAGTTGTTTTTAATAAACACCATTTTTTTGTCTCTTACTTCTCTCTTTTTCAATTTAAGTATTCTCGAAATCGCGATTCGATTTTCTTTTTTATAGATCACGTGTTTTACGTTTTTGTATGTGGCCACTTGATGATACAGACGTTGTTCAGCGTCCTGTATTCGAAAGGTTAGTCTCTCATATTGTTCTATATTTCCGTGTTGGAGTTTATTTTGTTTTTCGCTTTGATATTCACATTCTTTTTTCTTCAGTTTATGCTCTGAAGGACAATATGAACGAGCAGCTGCAATGGCTTTAATTAATTTGAAATTTGATTGGGCGTTAAGTTTTCTAAATCGAGCTTCATCAGGTAAATTTCATCCTTCTATTTTCGGTTATAGCATATAAACTATTTTGACAGTTTAAACATCATAAACCTTCATGATTGTTAGTACTCTGTAGGTATTTCAATAGCTCATAGTTAAGTTTATTTTGGACTGTTTATTTGTTTGTTTTCATTTGTCATACGAAATACATTTCGCTTGATTGACAGTTTTACATTCTATAACTTCAACTCATCAACTTTCTGCTTAAATTAAAAAATGGAATCAACTAGGTACTGTTTATGTTCGCGTGTGTGTGTATGTACGAAAGATATTTACAAATTCACTGCGGTAACATTTTATACCACCACGAAGATTTTAATGAACCTGAATTTCGATAGATGCCTTTTTGATAGAATCTAAAATGATAAAAAGACAACATAGTACATTGGGTAATAATAATGAAAAATATCTTTGCTTCAATACTAACAAATATATTTCTCATGTTTCATTGAAATCATGAACCAATCGAGATTAGATAACCATTGAAAACCTGGAAGCACTGAATGACCGTTCCGTCCTAGTATGAGACTCCCAAAGAGTGTAAATACACGATCCCAAATCCAAGAATCAGACTCAGAACCTTAGGTCTCGCTCACGAACGCTTAACCTCTAAACTACATTTCTCATATAATGAATCTTCTAATTAAAGTACACTTCCAAAATAAGATTTACAATGACATGTATGAACACAATAACATGTTTCTGTCAAAAATACTTCAGTTTATCTAGTTTTTTGTTAAGAATTGTTAGTTCTTTAGAGGAAGGATAATCGCAACACCATTTTTCCAATTCACATTTCCTCTATGACTTTCGCTATTAATTGATTGGTTGTTTTATTATTAATTATTGTTTAATTGTTGTGGACCAGTCGTACTGTCTATCGAGTTCGTATTAGAGGAATCGTAATCTTTCGTCGTTGGAAATAACTGCAGTTGGTCTTAAAACTTAGCAATGTCATTGTTTGAATTTTGGTTTTCAGTGAAATACAAACAACTAAATTCAAATTTGTTTAGTTGTTGACCGAACACTTGGAGTGATATTTGTCTGTTTAGCAAGCCGCAAAATGGCTTTTTTAGAAACGCTCCTCAATCGTGAAAGGAGGTTTTGTTCGAAAGTACTTGTGAAGGCATGGACCGTAGTTAAAAGTTGTCTGAGAGCGATACTGGTTATTCACAGATTACTAACTAGTATAGAAAATGAACTTTATGAGAACGGTATGGTCCACAGTCAACAGGGTACTTGTTTCTCCATAATATGGATTCAAGAATATGGATATTGTTGGGATGATCGACTTTGTGCTAATGGCTGCAATAAAGTTAGCATGTCAGTGGCCAATATGATTTCTTTATATAAAAAATAGCTCTTTGAGAAAGTCTCAAGTTTTATCATGCTGTCTAGCTGGACTTAGTTATCTTTCATATCCGCGGAATGTGGTGACTATCACATTAGTCTTACATGTATACAAATAACTTTTAAAGAAAGTCTAAATATACTTGGGCCATAGTTAGTAATGGCTTAAGTTATCTCATTGATCTTCAGGATTGAGTTTTGATCAGTCTCAGTGGCTATCTGGACTTACTAGCTCAGTGGATAACGCGTTGGGCTTCGAAAGCAAAAGAGACTAGGTTCAACTCCCAGTGTATATATTAACACTATATTGTGTTGGTATATTCAATCGATTAGTCCGAAATGGGATTCATCTACTATAAATAGACCTGTAACAGATTTTCGACTATAATTTGACATATCTCTCTTTATGATGATAGTCCGTTTACTCTAGTCCTTGTTTTACATTGCTCATACAATAATATGTGCTAATTTCTTTTCTTTGTCGGTCGATCAATAATAAAGATGCCGATATCGATCTAGTCGCATTGGCTTTAGCAGGTTACACAGATACAAGAAATGAATTATGGCGAACAACATGTGCCAACTTAATAAAACACTTGCAAAACCCTTACTTACGTGTTATGTTTGTATTCTTAAGTCGACAAGGTGGTGATTTTCAATCAATATTGGTATGTTTTCCTTTTGTAGTGTGTGCTACCATTCTTTGTTTTTACAATGTTTTTTGTAGTCTGTAGTCCAAGTGTCCGATCTGTGTTTTTAGAGGAACATCTGTAACCCATTGATGTATACCTTTAATGTTATATCTTGAAAAGTTGATTTTTCTTGATACTACCGCGGATAACAGAGCACTAGAACACCAAACCCTTCCAAGTCGCAGTAAGAAGACAGAAGACTAACGAAAGGAATATTATTCCAAACAGTGTCAATCATAGTACAAAATTGTCAGGTATTTATAGTTTTTAGTGTGAAAGAAATCATCAGTACGGTCTTCCAATCCGCATACAACGGGTTATTAGCATTATCCAATCGGGAAGCTACACGTTGAAATTCTAGAATATTCTTCCGAAAGGTGATTGGATGAGACGTCTTCGGCTCCTTCTGAGCCTCTTACAGCTTCCTCGAGTTCACCGGTGGTCCGTCATCACAGTCTTTATGAAATTCTGTCATTCCAGAGTACGAGATCAGGTAACAGATAGTTACGGCCTCTAGATATAGTTGCATTTCATGTGTATAACACAAAATCATAGGTATTCTACCGTATTATGCTGACTATCTTATAATTTATATATAAAGAAAGATAAGAAACATTACTTACCATTATTACTGCCATTATTATTCCATATTTTGAACTCTCGTTTATATGAATACGATAATACTTGTCGGACATTCTAATTATATTACTAGAACTATTCTGTTTTGATATATTTTCTATTTGAACTCTTGCTACTGACTTGCTGGCCGCTTTCTATATTCCCGGACTACTCCTGCGCTTGAACCATATGGTATAGAAAAGGCGCAACGTGGGGATCAGGCTTTACTTCACGGTTAAATTATAGGGTTACAAATGACCTCAATCTTCTATACGCTTGTGGAAATAAAGCAAATTTGGTAACTGCTGGGATTTTCCAAGTATTCGGAGAAGTCCATGGGGGTCTAGAAAACACTGGGAACCATTCTACTCAATCAGAGTGTAATAGAAACGTCTTAGAAACACTTAGAAATCGAAGAGTCACATATCACGTTTCTGATTGGATTTTTATGCATGATGCCACCATATTTAGTATGTTCCAGAGACCCAAGGTTGTCTGTAATACTATAAATACCCTCGTTTTTCTCTACATAAATTAACCTTGAAGTAAAGTGTTCTTTTGGTACTTCTCTCTTTTTCTCCCGTGTTCAAGTTGTAGAGATTTAGTCTCGGATTATTAGAAGCAGCTAGTAAATCGGATAGAGTGTTGAGTTAAAAGATTTATCAGTAACGAAACAAGTCGTTATCCATCCAAAATGTGACTGCACTCTATCATCCAACTGATGCGTCCCAAAGTGGATGGAACGCGCATCCTGGGTTCCACAGCTAGTCACCGTCCAATTCTGCTTATAACTCTTGTGACTTAATCACAATATCGAGTCGATCCTCCTAAGTTTGTATATATGCCTAAAGAGACTGGTTAATTACAGTTTTAGACATCAATAGGAAAATTCAAACAATCAATACCATGAAACTTGAGGATCTAATTAGGTATATTACCGAAAGACATGAGTACTTAAGAATATCATGCACTGATTTATATTTGTGATATTTAACTAATACTGTTAATATGTTTATAACAAAGAATACAATCAGTAGTTGAATTTTTATTGATAAGATTTACGGATGATTGATTATCATGTTTAAGAGCCGTCGTGTAAATATTTGCCAATTTAAACGAGCTATCATTCTGTTTGTACCGCGAATTTCTGTCATCAACCTTATGCGTGTTGAGTACAAATAGAAATTAACTTTTTTTTTGTTTCTCTGTAGAATGACGATGCCCTATGTCTTATTGACCGAGTCGCATGTGCCTGTTTATATCTAAACGATGATGATGTAAGTGTCATTACCAAGCTTTGATTTGATAATTTCGAATAAATTGAGCATTAGGTTGATTGTTATAAATAAAAATAATATATTTGTAATATCCCAATGAGTAGAAAATTAGATTTTCTGACGTTTCGTGGCTTAGTGTAGATCACTTCTTCAGAGAATAAATAACCAAATTAAATTAATCCACGTTTAAATAGTACAACGGAACAAATATATTATTTTTGTTTATGATGATGATGTAAGTCCAATCTCCATAACGAATATTACTGTTTTCACTTTGTTCACTAAAAGAATATTTCAAATTTCTTCCTGTAAATGTAAAATGTTGCTTCAGGAGTGCTTTGTGTCAACGCCTAAACTAATGATAGAGAATGAAATAACTATGCACATCGATCGCTTCACTTACCTTGAATGTTTCACCAACCTTGGTTGGTTGATGTTTGGAGAAATCTCTTCACGGATTCAAAAAGCTGACTTAATTTTTGTCAGTTCGCATCACCTGTACCGTAGGCGACATGTTCATCTAATTGCTAACCGAGGAGCACGTATATCATACAACAACTTGCTATGTTTTACTGTTTGTCTGTCAAAATACAGAATATTCGAGGGTTATTGGTATTTGGTTTTGTGTCACCGAAGCATTGTTCGAATGTGTTGGGCCAAAGGACTAAGTAGATTAGATAAAAAGGACTAGACAGAGACGGCAAATCGATCGATAAGCCAGTAAATATTTACTGACTAAAGTGATTGAAATATGTATTGCATGTATCCAAACATCGCCTACCTCGATGCACGTTGTCTACTGTTATAGGTGTAAGTTGGAGAAAATCTGTAGGCTGTTGAAGAAACACTTCTAAGCAACATGTCTACGAAGTCGTTGAATGTTGTACTGAGCCGTATAGGCAGAAACAGACTATTTGTTTGTGGTTGATGTGATTATCATAACCAATGGTTAGCATCTTCGGGTGATATAGCTCAAAATCAATCGCTATGGCTGGATCTATTCACTCTTTGTCGTCCTGTGTATTTCGAGATATAGAATTATTTTATGTCATTTATTCTTCAAATTCACAATTCTCGAATTTTATTGTCTCTGTTTAATCCTTTCTACTACGACTGATACTGTTACTACTACTACTTCTATGACATTTGTATTGATAATGTTATGGTATGGTAACTTGAACGAATACATATATATATTTTATATCTGTTCAATACCTTAATCATTGTTCCATCTCTAGGGTAATGTTGATTGACATAATTTGCGAATTTCTTATCATACCTTACCTGTTGATTCATCAAAGGATTTAACCTGCAATCAGGATAGCATTTATTTATTTCCACTGTTGATTAAATAAGTCGTATAAGTAAGAAACCCCCTATGTATACATTTTCCGACTAATCAGTTTATAGTTCTTTATATATATAGAATTTGATTAACACTAAAAAGTACTTGACATACATAACATTGGTCACTAATTAGTGATCAACCAATTGTAAGTACATCTCAATCCTACAGAACGTTAGTCGCCACCTGAATAGCTCAGCAAAAACGTTTCTGACTGTGAAGCTGATTGGAAGTGTATCAAATCTGTTTGGGAGAATCAGTTCATGAAAAATCATAGGTATACCTTTCTGACGAGTACCAAAATGGTACGAAACATAGATCCATGGTATCCAGTTATCTACTCCCAACCAGACTACTTACGATCTCAGTATAGTACATCCGTTGTCAAGTCAATTAGACTAGTGGCTATGCCGTCACTTGGTCGATAGAGTTTGGTCAACACTAAGAAGGATTTGAAGTATATGACATTGATCGCTACACATTTAAGCCATAGATGCGTCTTATGTCTATGGTTTTCTTCAGTCAAAAAGTTAAACATATTTCGACCTGATTGTGAAAAAGCTTTTACACATAAAAATTATCATGCTTTTCACTTTCCTCTCTAATTTATTAATAACACTTTTTTTAATCTTTCATTTGATGAACATGCACACACCTAGCTTCTTGTCTTCTTACGTTCAACTTGTAATTCTATGGTTCAACGTGGACAGTTAGAATCGATTCTACTAACTGGTCTCTGTTCAAATGATTTTATTAACCTAATACAAAACTATGTTGATACAACTGGTGATGTTCAATCGGCTGCAATTGTTGGTTTACACGCTTGTCAGTTATCATTAAATGATAACTATTCAGTGGTAAACAACGAAAAACGAACTGATATGAACGATAATAATAATGTGAATAATTCACGTCATGTACAAATTGTGTTAAATGGTATACGGTCATCAAATGTTGATAAGAAATTGTCCATACCTTTAGGAGGAGGATATGTAGGCCGTGGTTATTCGTCTGGGGCGGGTACTAGTGATCAACAACCTATGATTATTAAACTTGGTGGGCTTAAAATAGCTAATTGGGTTCAATGGTAAGTGTCGAGTTATGAGAAACGCTAGGAAAAGTTTGAATAACACTGCTTGCTACTCACTTAATGCTTTTGTGTCATTCTATAACAATATTAATTTAATTTATAGTGATTTGGATTATCCCAAAATGAACATCAACTCTGGGATGCAAATACATCCAGCTGACGAGTTCTAAATGATACGAAATGTGTGCTCTAGGTTCCGTTGCTAGCTAAATTACATCTATTCTATATAATAGTTATAACAGTAATGAATGTTCGTTTACAATGTTACTAGTTGTCTAGAATTTAGACTATTAAAAATGTTTTAATTTTAATTTTCGTGGATTATAAGTGTGAATTAGTCATTTTACAACTTTTCACAAATCCCATTTTTTTTTAAGTAATAGGAATACACTTTTAATAGGTATCATTACCAAATGCCCTGGTAAGGCCAAGGTTGGCGAGAGTCAGCTCTCCCTCTCGAAATACTCTCGCATGGCCACTTGCATACAACCACTGCTAGGGAAGTCCTACTTACTGCCGGTTGGTTGTTTACGAAATAGAGAGAACGAAAAGCGAATGTTTGGCACTAACCGGGTCGATAGTTATGGTGGGTTCGAGAAATCCTGATTTCAAACCAATGGTGCACATAGGCTCCAGGATTCTGAGGAACAAATGATATATGAACCCATTGTCGATCACCAGTTACTATGGGCCTACATCTCCTGACGTTGCTCCACTGCTTTGTGGATTAGACCTCTAGGTCAAAGGCTCGGGGTGTGGCCCCCCAAGAAAACCACCTACTTCGGTTTGAGCACACAAATCAAACGACGAAATGTGGCGCATATATATTTGGTGCTACTTTGTGCCAATATTTATATGTTCAAATAAATAAGTAAATTCAGTAGTTTTTTTCCATATTACCCTTCATCCTCTTAAAAAAAATCATTCAATCATTATTAAAGATACAAGACTACAGTAGTTCTTTTTGTATTTCACAAGTCACATTGAATAATGTTAGTAAATAAAAGAAGTCTTATGCATATGTATTTCTCAGTATATTAATCGTTAAACCGTATGAACTGCGTAAATTATTCATGCATAGCTAATGCTAACTATTTTTAATTCAGTTTTGTTATGAAACTCGGACGAAAAGCTATTATGCTTCTATATTAGTTGAACTGTTTATTTTTACTGTTCTCGCTCTCTCTAAAATTGTGATGCACCCCCCTTCTTCGTTGGTAGCCCAATTCAAATCAATCTGTGACAGATACAACCTACAAAGCTTAATTATTAACTAATTGTCTCATACCTTATTTGCATACAGCGATTTTTTGTTGGTCACTCAGTATATTTCTACTTGTCTGATTATTTTTCATGATTTTCTCACCTTAGCTACCGTGACCTATTAGATCAGTGGCAAATGTGGTTCTATCGAGCTGACTTTGATATCACATATAAATCACGTCTTTTATCCGATTATTTATATCCCAGCACTCCTCGAACTCAAATGTCTAGTTCATTGTTGATATCATCAAAGAGTGTTGAAGCGGATACGCCCACTACTAGTACTGTTTCTGGTACTGGTAGTAGTACTACTACCAATAGTATTGTTACTACTGTTTCTACAAACAACACTAATTCTTCATCATATAGTAGTAAAGTTCGAAATTTTGGATTTATCGCTGGTGCTAATCAAGTACGTTTCATAGTTTGTCTGCTTATTTTATCCAACTGCTTATAAAACCTGCAATATTTTATTTTCGAAATTGCGAATGAAGTTTAAGTAAATTTTTATAAACATACACCTAATCAAACATGTTAGTGCAACTTTGTAAAAATTAACAAATTCTAAATAAACCTCCAAAAAAAGTGATTGAATATGATGGTTACACCTATTCTTATCATGTTGTTAATGAATTTTTATGGGATTTATTTGTGAAGGTTATTTTATTGATTTATTTTAACACATAGGTATTGGTACACGGAGGCACCAAATACATATGCGGCACACATATCTCATTTGATATATATGAGGGCTGTGATACTGCCCGGGTGCCCAAACCGAAGATGGTTTTCTCAGGGGGCCACACAGGGAGCCTTCGACTAAACGGTCTGATCCACAATGCAGTGGAGCTATGTAAAGAGATGCAGTCCCATGGTAACCGGTGACCGACAATAGGTTCATACACCATTTGTTCCTTCAGGATACTGGAGCCCATGTGCACCATTGGTTTGGAATCAGGGTTTTCAAACTCCTCTAGGTGGACTCTCCATGTCCACCAACCCGGTTAAAGCGCCGGACATTCGCTTTTCGTCCTCTCAATTTCGTAAACAACACCCCCGCCACGAGAAGGCAATGAGTAGGACTTCCCTGGCGGAGGCTATATACGCGTGGCCATGTGAGAGCATTTCGAGAGGGAGGACGAACTCTCCCCACTCTCGGCTGTACCAGGGCATTTGTGAAGGTAGCAAAAGACCTTATGTCTTGGATTAGCTCATTCTATATTATACAACTGACTAATCATTGAGCGGTACAGTAAACAATGTAATGTTTATTTGATCCTTCTTAACGATGATCATACTCTGTTGGCTATATTTCAGTGTTGCTATCACTATTCTAACTAATTCAACATTTCGCGCACTATATTTTAATATTAAATTGTTGGGTATAGTCGAAAAGATTCCCTCCTCAACCTAGGTTTCTTGGTAATTGGTAATGCTCATCAAAGCATATGTTTTCATTTTGTAATTTATAAAGGGCCTAGGGTCAATCATTGGTTCTTTATGTTTGAACGAAATAAGTATTTTATACATTTTCACTAACCTTTCTCCCTTACTATATATATATATCAAATTTACAAAGAGACAATAGGAAGTCCATAGAGATTACATATATCAAGACTAAGCACTAAAGCTGTTATACAAAGAGTGAAAGCTATAGTCCTATCAATAATCAAGCTAGAGATTTGGTTATTTTACGTAAGTAAGAAATGCGCATAAGGTAATTAGCAACATCTTTAAAGGCACCGCGTTCACTAGAAAGTATGAGTGAGAAGAGAAATTACCATTATTAAATGTAATAGTAAAAAAAACAAATAAAGTGAATTCGAAAACACAGTTTACAAAAAGACGCACGAATCAAACCTGCAACAGTAACAAGTCGATAATATGTAAATGTAGTTGCGTAGAGACTACTCTAAAGAGTGAAAACTTACTGCTCTGGACTCTCACTACACAAAAAACCTGGAATAAAGAAACTCACTTTCTGTTCATCCCTACAAAATTATCATTCTTGTAATCAAAAAGTGTCTAGCGAGTCCACACATTTACACAATTCCAGAATGCAAAGGACAAGTTATTTTATCATATATTTTAGAAATCATCACAAGGATTTTAAAGCCCTTTGGGGTCAAAGTCTCTCATAAGGCAACATAATCAATTTATTCCATTTTATGATGACCAAAAGATACAACAGTAAAAGAATACAACTATATACGTTTAAAAAATAAATTACGTCAAATGTATTAGGCAAAGTGGGTACTTCCTCGATGTACTCGTACACTAGCACAAACGACATAATGTTATGTCACTCGTATCACTGTACGATAATAGCCATGGACATAATTTTGATTGCAAGAAAAAACGTCGAACTTTTTTGATTTAGGAAGATCAAAGAATTTCAGAAAGCATATTATTTAAGTCAATCTGTAATCAACATGAATCCTATCTAAGCCAAATGATTAACTAATCATATGGCCATATGGTCAATAGTATGAAACACTCAATAGGAATACAAAGACAATTAAAAAGGCTTCCGAAGATAACCATTCGCACACATGATCATCAAAACTGTTTGATTTAACGCTGACTAAATAATCAAATAATTCACTTCCACAGGAAGTAAACAATAATGATAATTTTTTGATTGAGATCATGAACCGATTGATGTTAGATCACCATTAAAAACCTGGAAGCGCTAGACGGCTGTTTCGTCCTATTGTGGGACTTCTCAACAGTGCGCATCCACGATCCCGCCCCCCGTGAGATTCGACTTCATGGCCTTCAGTCTCGCGCGCGAACGCTTAACCTACTGGTTCATGGTCTCAATCAAAAACTTAACAATCTCCACAACTCCTAAACTGATAAAAATGATAATGCTGTCAAAAACAAAAACCATAGTTTTGAAGTTGAATTATTCACCCATCGAGCTCGGAAAATACAACATAACCAGAAAACCTAAGACTTTAATCTGATATTCTTTTATAACTAAGTATGATGGACGGGCTGCTCTGATATTAATAATCACAATTTTGTAGTAGACCGTAGGAAGTTAATAGAATTGAGAATACAAAACATTTTTTAAGAAGTTTTAAGACAGTATTCTTGTGAAATCCTGAATGATGTTAAGGAGCATCTTAGCTACACAAAATAATCTTGATATAATCTTGTAAAACTGATATATCTACAAATTAAATCATTAGTAGTAGTGATATGAAAGAGGAAGAATGTATTTGTAAAATCTCAGAGAAAGAATTTGAAGTAGATCCCACGTTTCACCTGGCAATCTGGTTCAAGCTTTTTTAAGGAAAATATCAATAATTTTGTTGTTGGATTATATTTTCCTTGAAAAAGCTTGGACCAGATTTACAGGCGAAACGTTGGATTTACTTCAAGTTCTTTCGCTGAGATTTTACAGATGCATTCTTCCTCTTTAATGTCTCACATTAACTCGGCGCCCAAATATTGTGAAACTATTCGTTCAAATGTAGACGAAAGTTCTTATTAATCAGTAGTAGTGTATACAATTTTCAGTAACCATCGTTCTTAATATTACATAACGAAACTATGATGTGATCTTTTGTCTTTTACGTAATGTCTTTTAGTGCCATATTTTTTATTATTCAAATAGGTATATATGTATATGAATGGTAATATATGTAATGCATGCATTATGCTCCATTATATTATCATGCTATCTAAAATGTCCAACTTATACGGCCTGTCGTTTGACTTTTATTGATAAAGTATACATTTACTAATGGTCTAATTATGAGTAGTTTTTAATTAGCTTCCAATCTGATTATCTTGTTACTTAATTACTGTAAAGGTTCATAATTATCGTAATGTTAATAATAGCACTAAAATCAGGTAAAATGCGAATGAATTGCGTAATAGGAGTCATTGACTACTAAGTCAGTCGTATGCGTCGTAGAACCTGTCACATATGTGTTTCGGCTCAAGCTATCACATCACATCAAAACTGTGAAATATCAGATTTGTATTATTGGTATTAGGAAAGATAAGCTGTACGAGGTACAATTTAGGAAGAAAATATTGACTCGTGGAATAAAAAATAAAAATGAAATAGTTAATGAATTCAGGACCTAAGGGAAGACAATGAATTAGTATATCTGCAACATTGTGGACGATTCTGAGCTATATCAGCCGGAATTTCAAACTATTAGTCTCGATAATCGTGTGGATCTTAACCAGGTAATCCATAGTTACCGATATGACTCGAACCAACGATTACTGACTTCACGGACCGATGCTACATTCTAACTTGACTGCCCCTAGTTTCTTTTCAACCACTAAGTAATATATTCACATTATCATCTCTTTCTGTCTCACTTTTGTTTTCACTAGGTATTTGTTGCTTGCGGTTTCTGTGGTTGGCGTTTAGAACCTCAAAGTAACAAATTGAACGTGTTCAATATTGGTGGTGCTGGCGGTGGTGGTAGTAATACTAGTAATACCATGAACAGTTCATCCATTATTGATACACCATGTTCACCAACGCCGACGACAACAACATCAACAAATTTACAAATGCATGGAGGTGGTGGTAAATTGACAATCTGTCAGCATTGTCGTAAACCATTACCTAGATGTTCAATATGTTTGATGCATTTAGGCACATCGATTCCATTAAATGAATACATGTCTGTTACCAATGCTATAAAATCGGCTGAATCAATGTTTCAACAAACAGGATTGAAATCAACTGGTAAATTATCTGTTGATTTCATGAATGCTATGCAAATCAATACCACGAGTTCGTCCATACCCCTGTCAGAGAACAATGCTATAAATAAAAGTAATCAAAAAAATCTATATTCGTAAGTAAACGTCTTTCTTTTTTTTCTAAAGTTCAATTTTCCATCCTGATTCATGAGTTTTCGTCTTAAGATATGTACGTAGTCAAATGTTAATGATTTGAATTGTAACTGACAAAGAATAGTACTAAATCTTGGTCATCCTGTTTCTTATAACTCAACTTACATGAGGGAATTCCACTTAAAAGGATTAGTAAAGAATAGTGATGTTTTCAATGAGCAAATATTCAGTATATACTACTTTCTTGACTTTAATTTTGTCTAATACTAAAGTGAACGAGAACACAAATGGGGACAACCGCATGTATTTAAATACACAATTACAGAACATCTTAGTAAAATCTGAGAACCGTACAATGAATACTTCATTTGCAAAATGTCACCCAATCGTCTTAGACTTCACTGTTCTTTCTGTCCCGTGGCAATCGTTCTTCGTTCTTCTGCCTCTAGGCATTATACTTTCGACTGATGATACATACTACTTATATCTGTCGACATCAGTAGCACACATCACAACACCTTTGACTAGGTCCTCAGTGGACTTCCTCCAACAATGTCCCGTTTGCGGTTTCCCACCTTCTGTTTGAAATTGAGATGGCTTGTGAATTATCTGGTTCCTAAAATGTACCTCATTGTGTCTAGACTCGTCCAGTTTAGGTAGAAGAGATTATTACGACAGTATTCTTTGCTCTGAGGTTGTTCTCATAAATTATCCAACTCCTCATCCCATCATTTAAGTAACATTTTATTTTACTCTTTAATATTTTACATTATTGTTACTGTCTAAATTGTTGGCTTTTTAAAAAAAAATTAGATCACCTGAAAAATCTTCATCAATCCCAAATTCCATACCGATAGCTGATTGGTTTGTTTGGTGTCAAGCTTGTAGACATGGTGGTCATGCTAGTCATTTGACAGATTGGTTTTATGGAGATTCGTATGACTTAGGAGATAATGGTTATTCGAAAGAATGTCCGGTCAGTGGATGTCAATGTCATTGCGCTGCACTGGATGTTAACCAAACACTTTCTCGATTAAATTATTCTCGTTCATCTATAAATAGCCGTAGTCCAGATTCAGAAGAATCTAGTTCACTTGTTGATAACGAACCAATCGGATAATAAATTGAATTTTAGTACAGAACCTAATCTCTGATTGTTTCAGTATTTCATAGCTTATGGAACTTTTCATAATTACTACCTTGATTATTCACACTTTCTTATATTCTTTATTATTTGCAATGTACATAATGAATTCTCAATTATTTTGAATCTGATAATTTTAAGGAGTTCTTTTTTTAAATATACCTCTATTTTTCTAACCAACGTTTGAATCGTTAATACAATTATTTCTTACTTAGTTTTTTGTATGATGTTTAAAGATAATTTACCGCTTTTCTCAGCTTTGTATTAATCATAACGTATTAAAATAGGTTTTGATGCATACTTTAGTTTTTTGACGTCTCCCAGAATGTTTCGTGACATGATACTACATCCCACTATGTTTATCTCGTGGTACCACCTATAAATTGATTTATTTTGTTCTGTAGATTCTGCAATACTAACATATGTTAGAGGATTAAAAAATCAACTAATGTCAGCTCTGTTTTGTGTGCTATTTTTCATTTAGACCATAATAGGTGTGAATGAGTATCTACTTCAATTACGAAGTACTATTAAAGTCTAACTTTCCCGACTTGTAATCCTTCATCTGCTGGACTAAATTATGTACCCTTAAACTTGGTACTAAAGTAGTCTCATTTTTGGATTCTGAAGATTAGGTGTCACTATATTTGATTTGACTTCACAGTCGTTCAGTGGTATTTTCAACTGTTGCGAAAACATTTTGTAGTCCAGGAAACGTTTGCTATAGCAAAGCATCAAAATAAGTAAACCGCAGAGTGGTAGGATAGTATGGTGAAGACATGCAAGTGGAATATACATGTAAATATGTAAAAGATAGACGTGTAAATATTGAATTGTTCAATTGGCAAGACAAACAAGAAGTATTTTATTCAGATGGGGAGTTTCTCTGTAGTTTCTAAAGAAAACAGGTGAACCATATCGTAGACTTGTAATTTCCCTCTGTTCTGAACCATATCTTATGATCTCAGGCAACGAATCTACGTGTTCCTTAAGAGCTTTGTGGGAAAGTTATGGCTTTTGCCCCTATCAGTTGACGCGTAGCCAAATCGCCAATCAGAATTCCGACTTCTATAACTTTGTTCTTGTGCTAAACCAATGATACATCAAACAGCGCTGGCAGTCTTGCGTTAACTGTGGATCCTTATTGGTCCTTCCCCGTTAGCTCTGCCCGTTCAGCTCAGAACACAATATCAGCCTAAACTTCGAATATACGTAGTTTATATACAAGTAAACCAGGCCGCATCAGACCATAAAATACACATCAATTATATAATATCGAGTTGCTCATACTACGTAAAATCAATGGGTTAGCAAGGTTAATCACGATGTTCTTAATGCGACCACCAACAGATCAATTTTGTGGAAGTCCAAAAGTCATAAAATATGTGGTCCATGAGAATGGATTTACTGCTGTGAAGAACTGTATCGCCAACCAACTGTGCATACACATCACAGCTCGTTACACACTGATATTTCAGTAGACGCAGCAGTGAGAGCCATTTTACAGCAATAAACAAAAAATAACTAGGCTGCTTTTGATGTTGCTACTGTTGTCGACGATCCGAAGACCAAGTATTTGACAGAAGGGAATCCGTAAAGGGAACTTTACTATGTAACACTGGTAGGGATCGTCCATTTATGTCAAAACATTCTTGTTGAAAGGTATGTTGCAGAAATGTTTTCATCTAGTTGTTCGAGCTTCCGTTAAGTTCATAGCATAAACGTTTCACTATCTGAGTTTAAACAAAGATGTGATGGAGTGGAACGCTTGGGCACTAGCTGCCGAAAATCTCAGGTGACTGAAAACAAGGAATGCCTTTAGGTTCTTTCAATAGTCCAGACACTTGCTTCGAACACGTTCACCATCATTTATCAGGGCTCTTGCCAAGACAACATGGACATTCTTATCGCCTTACATATGTGGACCGTTCCACACGTTGGCCAGGATCAGAGCCTGGCAAGGGCAGTATTGCCTGGAAGTCAGCTCACACGTTCGTTTGAAGCTCAGTTCCGATATTAATGAGAAAATGTTGAGTGTTCTAACACTAACTTCTTTGGTATTTACTATTCATTAAAATGAGTCTGAATGTTTTATTGAGGCCAACCTTGTTGGTACATATATTGACATCACATAGCCCTACTCTTTAGTCATAGAATACGATACCGATTATCCTTGCGGATGAAACAGCCCTTCGTTGTTCTATTAAACTAAAACCTGGTGGTCCCCGAGTTTAGATCAGCGCAGTTTGGTTGCTGTCATCCATTTCAGACTTCATACCTGTACCACTGGAAAGTCTGTTCAAAATAATACTTCCTAAACTCAGCTCTCCAATGATTGGAAGGGTGCTTAGGAGTGGAAACAGAAGTTTGTATCTGACTACCAACCTAAAGGTTCAACCAGTATGGTAGCTAAAATATCAGTTTAAATAGTTTGTAGTAATTTGCTTGGTCACGCACGATAAACAAGTCTGTTAACTTTAGATCAACACAGTTTTTGTGAGAGGAGCTTCTTTTTGATTAACCTACTCACTTCTGGACAAAACGGAATGACAGCCTAAGATAGTGGTGTGCCCATCAAATTAACATAAAAAGATCTCAACCAAGGATAAAAAAATAAGATTCATTTTACTTATGTACCCAAGCCTTCCTAACTGATATTACTGGCCACAAAGAAGACTGGTTAAGATGCTTTCTTTGCCACTATAGGAAGAGCATAAGAGTAGATCGAACACTATCAGGATGGAAACTTTTTAAATAATGGTGTACTTCAATATACATACTCATATTTTCCACTATTTTTATCCTCTTAGTATGTTATCAAAACTGCTTAATTCACTAGTATTCTTATATGTGAATGATCCTTATTTTGAAAACTGGCTAGCAGTTTGCAAGCGATGCTTTGCAAGGTGAACCCACTCATGATCTAATGTGGATACGTGACCGAGTCACTTCAACCAAGTTTGCCTGGTAAAACTAACGAGGTGACCATAAATGTCGAGGACTTACAGGACTACAGCCCACTTCTCCCTAGTAGGGGTAGTGATTAGCCTAGTACTCAGAAATTTAAACCAACGAGTTTGCCGTTGCTAAACACCCCTCTGATGGCTTGCCACTTTCAACAGTATCTGGTCATCTTTCCACAATACAAGGGGCTTTGTAGCACAGTATAACAATAAAAAAGTACAGTGAATATCTCAGTTCATCGTAATCTCAGTCTTTTTTTTTAACCTTTATCAGCCGTCCGGGAGAAAGAGAAAAGGAAATTGTAAGTGCATGTCGAAATACACGTATACGCGCGTACAAACACGAAACGTTCGACAAGAGAATCGTATTCCTAATATAATAATAATTTTTGCGCAGAGATTTTTCCTGATCATATAAGCACAAAAAATAAACACACATATGTGCGTATATTAGAAAACATCGATGAAACAGTACTTAGGTTCACGCTGAAGGACTTCGGAGGGTCCTCGCACGTCATTTCAACAGTTCGTCGTAATTAATTGCGACGTACGAAATTTTGAGTACAATAACGTAGGGAGAGTTGAACGAAAGTATCCATCAGCTGCAATCGAGTAAAGCCAGGTTTAATTGAACACCTGGCGTTCGTAGGCCTGCTCCGGCAAGTACTTAGATCCATATTTATTGAAAATGAATGACATACAAATTTTCCTCAAAGTCCATGTCCTTCCTTAAACGAGTTGTGCTGCACAGTATCCAACGTCAGTTTTCACTGAATCACGAATACCAAGTGAAACGAATGGAAGAGAGTCAGCCCACTGTAAAAAATTTTCAGCTGAGAGTGAACTTTTCAATAATCAACGAAATCGCCCCTTCAACCCTTTAGCCGTGGGCAGCAGGCGGCGTTCGGAATTTTGTAAATCGTAGCAGTGGGGTAAAACAACAGAAAAGTCCAGATTCGATCTGGAGTCTACCATCCGTAGTAATAGTTGAGGAATAACCTTGGTTTCTTTACATGGTTCGACGAAGGCAAGGTCCATCACTTCAGCAGTAATTTCCATGACGAGTAATGCTTCTGGCCATCGTGTAAAGCAGTCTAAACAGACTAGGACGTTACAGTGTCCATTCGAGTCCGGTAAGGATCACACCAAATCTTGTTGAACACGTCAAAACGAAATTCGGAGGTTTTGAAAGACCCAAAGTGACATTTGTGTCTAACCACCTTGGATTTCTGGCAACTTACACAGAAGTATACACACTCCTTCACATCTTTATTCATACCAAGCCAAATAAATAGCTCTGTGATGAGCTTAATGGTGACACGAACGCCTGGATGAGGAAGCTTGTGCAGAGTATTGAAGACTTTGCGTCGATAACGTTTTGGCACGACTGGACGAACCCTACCTGTAGATGTACCACAAAGTAAAGTTTATTACCTCTCCCCACTTATTTAATACTTAGGTTCAGGGTTGTCGAAGATAACTCGTACTAAAGATCAGTGTCTTTTTTGAAGCTGGGCGAGTTCAAGAAGGTTAATTCCTTGGAACCTGTTCATGCAAGTCATACGAGACATTAAGTCTGTCACTACATTGCTTGCCCCAGAAATGTGTTGTGTATCCGAGGTAAACTGAGAAATATGGTACGGCTGTCAAAACTTTAGAGAGTAGTACTTTCCTGAAGACTAGCTTAGAGATGTGAGAGGTCTGTGATCGAAGAACAAAGTGAGTTCTTGGCCCTTTATAAAGTTATGAAGGTGCCATACAGCACAGTGCATCTCTAGGAGTTCCTTGCTAAAAGTGCTTTACCTCGTTTCAGTGTCTAGCAACGGTCACAAGAAGAATGCTAAAGGTTTCCAGCTGTTGCTTAAGCATTATCGCAAGACTTTTCCAGTCGCCGAGTCCTATGTGTCTACTGCTATGCTGATGGGTGATTTAATGTCTTGCTATACGAGGCTACTTGCTTTTCAACTGTTATCTGAATTGATGAGTTTCACATTTCTGCGAATTCGGTTAGGTAAGAGTCTCTTGAGAGACGTGAATTTCAATATGAACCGTTTGTAGAATTCTACCAGACCGATGAACGCACGTAAGTGCTTGACTGTCGTCGGTTTTTAGTAATCCATAATGGCCGCCGCTTCACTTTTCAGAGGGCAGATGGCCGTACCAAAAAAAATTAAGGGAGTCAATTACGGTTTGACATTTCTGAATGTTTGAAGTAATGTCGTGTTTTTGTAGTTGTCCAAAAATAAGGTCCAGATGCTGGAGATGAGATTCACTGGTTGTATTTGTGATCGAAAATTTGTAGAATCGAAAAGATGCGTGTTCGCATCACGTTGGGCTCGCTAATGTAGAATTATGGTCTACTATAATATTAATACTGCTCTAATAATAGACCCTATCCTAAAATTGTAGATTTGTCATGATATAACTGCCTAATCTATGAGATCATACGTGGAAGCCACATCATTGTTTACAGCAGCTCACTGTATCGTG